TCGGCCTCACTTGCAACGTGTCTGTTCGCTCCCCGCGCCTCGTAGCAGGCTTGCTGCAGTGGAGGGCTCGCGAAAGTTTTAGAGGTTTCAGACCCTCAAACCTCCCCCCCCCCCTTTCTCATACAAGTCCTATGGTCGGCTATAGAACATTCTTTGTGTGGTCGGCTTTAGGTATTTGGCCCAATTAGCTAAATAATGTTCTATGGCTCTCTTTAGCGTTTTTATGGTCGCCTTTATGGGCGTCTTTAGCTTTGTCTATGGCCCTACCACTGTTCAGCCATAGCGCTCTTTAGCGCTATGGCTGGACAGTGATGGCTGGCTAAAGACAGCCACAGCCATTTAGAAGCCTTTAGCCATGGCTGGCTAAAGGCTTCTATATGGCTTACCGTACGGCTCTTAAGCCGACATTCTACAGCTTCCTATTGCTTTTCCTTTGGTTTTTTTAGCTATCTAAAGCTTTTTACGTGTTCTGCTTAAGAAACGTCTGTGGGTCGTCATATGGCTCTCTTAGCCAGCATGCTTTAGCTGCCTATGGCTTTTTTTTTTGGTGTCTTCAGCCATTTAAATGTTCTGTTGAAGAAGGCTGTATGGGTTTTCTTATGGCTCTCTTTAACCAGCACAAACTAAGAAAAATTGTTTTCTCAAGTTTTCCCGACTTTTAAACGCTACATTGTAGATATCCCACGCCACATATGCTTCTCACTCTGCAAATATCAGCTGGTCGTCCAACATTTTTTCTCTTTTTGTGCGGGAATATTTGTTGATGAGCAGACCAACCATTAAAATTTAAAAGTATTTTGTAATTTGAGAAGTTACTCGGAAAAAGTAACTCAAGTAAACTACTAATTGCCGAAATATGAATGTAATTCAAATATACTAGATTACAAAAAAAAAAAGAAGTTAAACTTCAGTAACTTCAGCACAGTAGTTAAACTACGCACAAGCCTGCACGAGGCACATTCTCCCTGAAACTCTTGGAACCAAATGGGTGCGCAGCACTAGCTCATGCATAAAACGTGTCTCACGCGTGTGCACAACAGTGGTTGTCCGTACTTGTAAGAAACCCGCAGCGTGAATTTTATCATGGGGTATTGTGTACCCGTTTGAGGGTAGGACACACCAAGAGAAAGAAGTTTCTTAGTTGGTGGCTTAGACACGACTGCCTAACGATCGCCGATTAAAATCGAACACGGTGCAGTGTGGTACTCGATCACATGCGACACCACGCGCCAGCCGCACCCGCGAAACCTCATGATCTTGCTACATTTCGTCTAGCCCTACGATATACTACAGTTAAAGCTACGGGCCGCCAGGTTCAATCAAGGCCATTTAAAAATCACGTCAATATTGCTCCAGGAATCGCGCCGGCATTCCGGAGCATATGTCGACAATAGAGACTTTTAGCAAACCGTTACCGTGCTCCGCGTACCGCTATACCGGAGCCTTTGAAGCAGGCTTTTAAAGGGGGGGTGCAACGATTTCCGGACTTCGGTGAAAGATTTCTGGAAGTTGCCCTCTGACACTTCTGAGTTAAAGAACAGAAAACCGATTTCGCCTGCGTGTCCTAGTTGTTGCGTAAAAAAAAAAAAAAGATAAATATTGGAATTTCGGGCACCCCTCAACTCACTCCCAGCCTTCAGGGTCACACTTGGTCCCCCTCCTAGTGACGTAATTCGGAGTGCCGTGTAGGTTCCCGTGTGCTATCTCGGAGGACGCTTCCTCTCCCTCTCCCCGCTGACATCAGCGGGCGTTATGCTGCAGCTTAGAGCCGAGCGGGGTCACGTAATCTTTTCGCCGTAGTTCCTTCGGCTGCCACTTGGGGCTGCGGGTGGGGGAAAAAGCTCGGCTTTTGCTTTGCGATTATGCAGTGAAATCGCGACATTTTTAATGAAGGATGTGTTTTCTCTATCCTCCGGGACACGATAAACAACGTAAAAATGACGAGATGCTAATTCTTTTAATCTTAAAATCGTTGCACCGCCCCTTTAAGCGCGCGCCCGGGTGATAAAGTAACCCAGGAACGCGCGGGCTTGAAAGCGTGCTTCAAAGGTTGTGTATATCTGAAGGTGTATATCTGAAGGTGTATTCCCTGAGCGTATGCAAATAGCAAAAGTTTCCGTGCTGCGTAAGAAAGGCGATAAAAATGATATAAATAATTATAGACCAGTTTCCATACTGCCTGTTTTTTCAAAGGGGCTAGAAAAACTTATTCATACACGGCTCTCAAAATTTTTTGATAAGCATCAGCTAATTACAAAGTCCCAGTTTGGATTTCGAAAGCACCGTTCCACTGAGCTTGCGTTACTTGAAGAAAAGGAATTTATTTTACGTAACCTAGAAGATAGAAAACTAGTCTTGGGAGTTTACATTGACTTTACGAAAGCTTTTGACTATTTGAACCACACGCTCTTATTACAGAAACTTGAATGTTATGGAGTACACGGGCAAGCCCTGTTTTTATTGCAATCATATCTCAAAAATCGTAAACAATATGTGTGCTGTAGTAATTTTTCATCCAGTATAAAACCCATAGTCTCTGGAGTACCACAAGGAAGTATATTAGGCCCTTTTCTCTTTAACGTATATGTAAATGACATTGTGAGTATTGACCAAACAACTAAATTGATAATATATGCTGACGATACAACACTTCTGTACGCTGCGGACGATCCTGAGGAGCTCGTGTCAAAAGTAAACCTATTGTTAGGTCAGATATCGGTATGGACAAAAAAGAACGTTTTAAAAATAAATACAAGTAAAACTAAAGCCGTACTATTTCGACCTAAGCATAAAATTCTTCCTCCGATAAACACCATTACTTTAAACTCGGTAAATATCGAATTAACTGATAATTTAAAAACACTTGGAGTAGTGTTTTCCCAGAATATGTCCTGGGATAGCCATATTGAACATTTAAATAAAAAATTGTCAAGAACTGTGGGTATTATATGTCGGCATCGGTATTTACTTCCTACATCTGTTAAAATATTATTATACAAATCATTATTTTATTCCCATTTAAATTATTGTTCGTTAGTTTGGGGTACTACCACTGCAACTAATCTTGAGAAGGTGCACCTGCTTCAAAAAAGAATGTTGCGAGTAATTGCAAACGTACCTTATCTTTCGCACACGGAAAACCTGTTTAAAAGTTATCATATACTCAGTATTCACAATCTTTATAACTATAGGCTATCCACAAAACTTAGAACAGAATTTCTTTGCAACACTTCATCCCTGGTAGAATTGTCTATTTTGCAACAACATATCGTACCATACCAAATTCGTAATCCAGATTACTGGCACGTACCAACGTGTCGGCTAAGCACTGGAAAGGAAATTTTAGCATACCGAATCCCAAAGCTTCTAAATGTATTGCATTCTAAAGGTGTCTTTATAGATAGATTAAGCCTGGGTGGATTGCGATCTGTCATGCATGATTTTGCATATATAGATTGATGCGATTTCTTTTTTCTTAGTTTAAAAGTGTGTTTTGTGTTGATTTGCGAATGTCAACTAATATGGTGCTCAGTGGCGTTTTCTAGTTTCATGTTGTTTTCTTTTTTTTTTTCGTATTCATTGTGATTATGCACGATTTTTTGTATATTGATATTTCCGACGCTTCTGCAGAATGTACTGGGGCCAAGAACTCGTCAAGCCGCGTAGCGCGGCTTTTTTTCTTGGCTCCACCATTAGGTGTAATGGAAATAAACAGTTATTATTATTCAAGGTTCCGGTAGTGCGGTACGCAGAACACGCTAACGATTTGCTAAAACTCCCCAATGTTGCTCGCATCCTCGTGCCATAGGCTACGGCGATCCTAAAATCTACTTCGTGATGTTGGAGCAAGTTAAAGGCTCACTGCGACGTATTCTCGTTGTAATTCAAAATGCGTAAAGTAAAAAAAGAAATAAATAAATTAGCTTGTTATTTGTTGAATCACTACTCTGGTTCTTATCAGCGACATCATGGAGTGGAATCAACCGAAAGAGATAAGTACTTGCCGTTTGTCGTCTCGCTTGCTATCTTTCGTACTCCAGGAGCCGTAAGCTGGTCATATGGCGAGAATGTCGCCGAGATTTCTGACCGGCGCCCGATTGGCCAGCGCCGGGCTTGACCTCTGGCCCATCGCGGCCGTCAATAATCTCGCCGACTTTTTCTCCGAGTGTCCAATTTAAAGCCCCAGTTCTTCGACGGAGGTTGGGGAGAGATCGGACGTCTTGCCGCGTCCGACATTTCCAAAATTCTTCCCACGTGAACCGCAAGGAGAGGGTCGAACTTGGGGAACAGCTGAAGTACCCCAAGGAAGTTTCCGTCCTGAAGAGATCCGATCGTCTGATTAAACCTCGTTCTTCCAAGAACCTTACAAGAAACACTTCTTCCAGTAATTGTTTTTTTTCCCGAGCAATGAGGGAACGGCTGATGGGCTGCGTTTACGTGGATGCGACCACTGCGCATCGAATTGAGATTTGACTATTTTGATTGGTACCAGATAAATAGAAGAGGAAGAAGTAGGAAGGCAGGCTGCGTGCGATTTGTCCCTGCTCGATTCGATGCGGTATACGATCGCATTCATGGAAACGTAGCCATGGATGCTCTCACAGAACGTCGCCTGTACAGGCCAAGAATTAATTTTCTATGACTGTCGCTTTTTCCTTGTATCTTTAGCTTAGCATGTGCTTTCTTCCACGAAGGAAACTCATTTGGTGGGGAAAATCGGTCCTTTCATGCCGACATCAAGGTATACAAAGAAAGCCGTATGCTGATCCGTTACGCGAACTTTACGGCATCCATTCGTGCAAGACGGCTTCGCCTTTGGTGCGATGAGTGTAGAACGTTTCTTTGCCTAAAGTGGTTGTGATAAGCCTTCGATGGCTGCGTCAGATGGTTAAGTACATAATCAGGCGCGAGTAATAAGCTGTAATATTTCATGAATTCCCCGTTCTCAATCTGGTTTTTCACTGCCCCAAATTTATTAGTACGTAAACGAAGAGAAAAATCTAGTCCTCGGGATTTCTAGACATGCAATGATTCTCGTCGAGCGATGGCTGGTCTCTTTTAGTTGGGCTGCCCGTGACTAAAGCAATAGGGTTGATTGCAGTGCCAGGCAAACTTGGTTGTCCGGGAGCTGGAACCAGTTGATGCAGTCGACTTAAATCCTTTAACGAGGGATTCTCGTAAGTTTCAGAACGAACAATCCCTCTGATTGTGAGCTTGACTTGGCCATTTTCAATGGTCTCACTGGATATAGGATTACCGCATGCTTTTTCATTGCCAGTTGAATATTTGGAAACTTTATATACTTTTTTGTAAAGTGGCGCTTAGGTTGGTTTTTTTTTTATACCGTACCAAGTGGTATTTTTGAGCTCCAGATAGCTACATTTCAGGTGGTATGGTATGCAGGCTGCAAACCAAGTGTATGAAGCATTATGAAACTAATTTTATCTATAAAATATTTCTTATAAAATGCCTGCTTATAAGTGCAACCATCCCGCCTAATCATAAAGAAATACAGAAATTAAATATTAATAATAATAATAATATTCTTTATTCAGACAAGTGTCTAGGAGGAGGGGGCAAAAGGCGATTTAAATCGCCTGACAAGGCTCCATCCCCCTGCACAGTCAGCAGCAGAACGTACAGAAACATACGAACAAAAACAATCAAATACTCATAGTGGGATTACACTGAGATACAGTGATAAAACAAAAAAAATGCGGCCGGAAACTTTAATAAATCATGTTATACCTGAAAGGTACGTTTTCAGTGTTCGTTTAAATGTGTATATTGTGTTGGAATTCTTGATCATGGACAGTATTTCAGGGTGGTTGTTTAATAGCTGTGCGATCTGATTAAGTATCCTTTGTTTGCCGTAGTTTGTGCGTACTCTAGACTGAGTGTAGTGGGTATGGCGAAATGAGTACATTGATGCATTGTTGATGTAATTTTCATGTACAAACTGAGGGTGTGCTGTTATTTTGTAAAACATGTAAATGGCAAGTTTTTGAATGAGTGATTGTTCTGCAATAGGAAGAGAATACTAGATAAAATATGGGCTAGAGTGCTCCTTATATGAGATATTGGCGATTGACCGTACTGCTCTTTTCTGTAGAATGAGCAGCTTGAATATACAGGTCTGTGAGCACGTACCCCATACCGAACTGCAGTAATTTAAACAAGAATGAACAAGAGTAAAGTATAACTGTCGTTTTAACCACACCGGAATGATATATTTGAGCCTACTTATAATGCCTATTGACCGGGAGATGTTGGGCCGTATCTGATCAATGTGATAAGACCAATTAAGGTTTTCTTTAAAGCATACACCTAAAAACGTGTGAGCTTTTACATATTGAATTTCACTATTTCTAAATCGTAGGTTAAGTTCTTGATTAAAAGTTTTATTTTTTGCTCTAAATATCATATATTTTGTTTTCTCGGTGTTTAGCTCTAATTCAGTACATGTCAACCATGCACTCAACTCTAACATCCAAGCATTCGCGAGTGATTCAAGTTTATCTATGTTGGCACCAGAAAAAATACGCTTGTATCATCGGCGTATACCACAATGTCAGGTGTGTGGGGAATGTTGACAATACCATTAATATACGCCAAAAATAAGAGTGGTCCAAGGATGGACCCCTGGGGAACACCATAATGTATTTTACCGATCTCTGATGGTAAGTAATTTTGAATAAGTTCTAGGGCTACTCCTCTAATACCATAGTTATACAACTTCTTCAGAATTATTTCATGCTTAATAGAATCAAACGCTTTCCTGAAATCTAAAAATATCCCTAATGTGTAAAGCTTGGTCTCAAAATTGGTTAAAAGTTTGTCCTTGATTTTCAGTAAAGCTTCCTCGGTTGATTTCCTTTTTTGAAATCCATATTGTTGTTCAACAATTAGGTTATTTTTAATGAAATGCTCCGACAACTTGGAGTTTATTATCTTCTCTATTACTTTTGAAAATACTGGCAATAGAGATATAGGTCTGTAGTTGTTTAAATTATTAGGTGGCCCACCTTTGTGTATTACTGATACTCGGGCGATTTTTAATTGAGCAGGAAATATCCCGGTGCTTAATATTTTAGCACAGATTGCTGATAGTGGTTGACATATTATCCCAGCAATTGCGTTTATAGGTTTAACTTTTAACTCATCATCGCCGCATGCGCCGCTGTATCTTAATGAATTTATTACGTTAAGCACTTCAGTCTGTGTAGTTGGTGACAAAAATATAGACTGTTGTAAACATACGCGGGTATGAAATTCAAAGTTTCTTTCCTGTTTTAAGGAGAAAGTCGGAGCGCCCGAAAGCAAAAAATGAGCTTTAAATAGATTTGCAAGTTCTCTACCAGAATAATCCACGTCATCTATTCTAAGGACATTGGGGATGGTACTGCTTGACTTGGACATCAGTTCTTTTGCCGTCTTCCGTACTTTCACTGAATTATGTTGAATCGTAATGAATTAATTTTTATAATAGTTTACTTTCGCCTTTTTTATGTCAGAGTTTAACTTGTTCTGTTTTTTTTTGTATTCAGCCAGTATATCGAGGTCTTTTGTTTTTATGAATGTGTCGTAAAGTTTATTTCGCTCATTTATTCGTTTGAGAAATGTTACGGTAATCCAGGGTTTCCGTGATTTCTTGTGTCTTTTGGCTTTCCTAAATGGGAACGCATATTCATAGGCTTCTTTTATCTTCTCTATAAACTTATCGTCGGATTTACTAGGGTTTGGCTCATTGTATATACCATTCGAGTGTATGGCCGATACAAGCGTAACAAAGCGTTCAATACTATAATCGTTTATGTCTCGATAATAAGGGTTAGTTATATTCGTTTTATTGTAGCCAACGTTTGCGCACGGAAGAAAGCAAAAGAGAGGTAAGTGATCACTTAAATCCACCGTCAGTACACCAGATACTACGTCATTTCTCATTGCATTGGTTAAACATAAATCAATTAAAGTTTCCGTCTCAGATGTGACACGGGTAAGACACTCAATTACATTTTCATATCCATGTGATTGTACGAGGTCTAGGAATTCTAACTGCCATGAGTCAGACAACATAAGAATTATATTAAAATCACCAACAAGTATCATAGAAAGTTTACTCTCAGATGCATACTGAAAAATTTCTTGTAAAAAGTCTAGAAAAACACTAGGTGATCCGGATGGCTGTCTGTACACAACACCTATAATGTAATCACGGCACCCTACAAGAAGACACTCATAATTAGCACAGCTGCATGCCAAGTAGCTTTTATAGTAAAGGGACACTCCCCTACCTTCTTTCCCAGTTCGAAATATCTCTGTATGGTAGTAACCATTAAATTCAGGAATATGGGAATCATTCGTAAGCCATGTCTCAGTGAATGCTAGGATATCAAAGCGTAGTTCTAGGCAGTCAAGTAACTCTTCAATTTCGTCAGATTTGTTTCTAATGCTTCTTGTGTTTAAATGAAATACAGATAATTTATTGTCATTGTGTGCAATGTTTCCATTAAAAAGATTTCTGAACGAATTGTTATCATAATAACCGTGTTCTGTGGAAAAACTTCCCATTATCGAAAAAATAAAAGTAAAAGTGAATTTCGCGTTTCTGATTAACGTATCAGTTCCAGGTCATCTTCGCGTTTTATCCTGATAAGACGGTCACCGGCAGCTTTTCTCACGAACATCTTTCCTTCTCTGTGCCATGCAAATTGATAGCCCTTTTCAGCGGTTTTGGTCCTAATCTGCCAGAATAACTTTTTGTTTTGAGCTGTCAGGTTTTCATAGATGCGCACTGTCGATTTCATCTGCCTTAGGAGCGCATTTCCCTGTAGCCACTTGTCTCGGGTGAGACGTGACGCAAATCGCACTAAGATGACTGGAACTTTGTCGGACTTAGGGGGGAGTCTGTGTGCTGCCTCGATATCTTGCTCGGTCAGCTTTGGTAACTGAAGTTGTTCCGAGAGCGCGTTTTCTTGACTCGGTAAGTTTTCCTTTCCGGAAGGCGCCAGCCCGTGTACTTCAATGCTTTGCCTTCTACTGTACTGCTCTAGATCGTTCACTTCGCGCCTGAGCTGTTGGATCTCAGTGTCGCCACTTGTTTCCACCCTCTCGACACGCCTTTTTAGCTCGTTGATTTCTTTTTTCTGCTGTTTAACTTCGGTAAGCAGTTCGTCATACTGGTCAGACAAGACCTGGACCGAGCGCTCGATTCCATCAACAGTGTTCTTGATTTTCATCAATGCGTCAACTTTTGCGTGTAGTGTCATCAAAACAGAGAGTTTTCTACTTATTTCCGCAAGTGTGTTTCCATCATCTTTTTCGTTGCTTGATTTGGGATCTTCACCTACTGGATCGCTTCTTGCTTTTGCTTTCTTACAAGTTAGACACGTCCAGGCTTCTTTCGAAGCAGCACTTTTCTTTTTGAATGCGCTTTTAGACACTCCCGAACACGCCCCCAAGTGGAAGCTGAACCCACATTCAGCACAACACATAAGTGAGTCACTTTTTGGCAAGGGTTCATCGCACGCTATACATGCTGAATCCCCTTCATCAGATGACGGACGGTGCAACAATTTTTGCCTCCCAATTAACTGCTGGAATTGATCCATGTCACCTGCAGAATCAAGAACAGGCCACATTTTCTTACGTGCGGTAGTTTTTATATGTATAAAAATAATTATTGGGGGAAAAAGGGGGGGGGGGGGGGTACGTCTCAACTCTTACCGTCTTTCGAGTGAGGTGCCCAGTGACGTCACTTCAGAATTCCCATCCCTAACCTCCGCGATTGCCTACTTTTCAGGGTCGGATTAAGCTACATTAGAGCACCGCACGTGCTTACCACTATTGAACGTCGCGGCGAGCGATCGAGACAAGAGGCGGTTTCACCGTGGGATGGCTGGTTCAAACTTGCGCAAAACTCTCTTGCCGCCGACCGAATTTACCGGACAAAAAAGACCGCACCATTCACATCTGTTGCCATCCGCCGCGTCCGCGCGGCTCGGCGCGTCTCGCAGATACCAGAGCGTTGACCAAAGCAGACTGCCCCTGGTTCGAGCAGTGTTCGAAAAACTGCTCTCGCACACTTCCTCTTCCAGTCAACGCTAGCTCTCAGTGTCAAGAGAATGCCCAAGATTCCCTCGACGATACGAGAACGCAATAATAAAATAACGAGTAAACGGGGACAACATCTGTACGTACCACCCATGCCAACTTTTATTCCACAGATCTTTCTTGGGGGTACTGTCTTTCAACCCTCTTGTCGAAGAGTTTGCGATAAGGAAAGAGGGACATCGAAGGTAAACAGACAAGACAGGCTTTCGTTGAATGATTTTGTCTCGACAAGTATTTGCATCGACACAACGTTACCAGCGACACGGCGTCATTTGCATAACTTGGGAACTCCAACTCCGGCTGTAACCCCGACTCGGGCTACTTTACCAGAATGTGACGTCAGCACACGCCATTTCCTCCTGGCGTTTTGATTGGCTGCGGCGGCGCGGGAACCCTTTTTACGCGGGAAAAATCGGCCACGGAGCGATTATTCTTCCGACGTCGGCGGCGAGCCAATAGGGAGTTTTCGTAGACCGCGTTTCCCCCTCCACTAAGCCCTCCGCAACGAAGAGGCCGCCACTACGACCGCGCGCCGGTAGCCTTGACTGTAGACTTCCGGCTATCGTAGCGGGTTGCGGAGGGCGTTGCGGGACGGCGAAAAGGATTCACGAAAACCCTCTAATTTCAAACTCTGCGTTGATTCGCCTGCTGATACGGAGGTCGGAACAATGGGGAGGCTCAGAGGGTAGGCTAGCGGCGAAGAGGAAATAGTTTGGTTGATATCCGATAGATGGCGACACGAAAACCTCTGTACACCAAATGACATGACACCGTAGATCCGATGACCGTCGCACGCAAATACAGCCCCAGAGTATTATTTATTTTTTTTTTGCGATTACGCAGCGGAATTGCAATACTTCGAGGAAGGTGGCACGTTTTTTTCTCACTTATGCCAAGACAAAAAAAAAAAAAAAATTAAAAACTTAAGGCTGCAAATTCTTTGAACATTGAAACGTTGCAGTGCCCCTTTAAAGGGGACCGTGAAGCTCCAACTTAAAAAGAAGCTGTGCCCAGCGATTTGCCACTTTAGTGGACTGGATGTTTTCTATGTCGTCACGGTACTTAAGATTAAAAAAAAAAGCGCACTCAATTTCTAGTGTTTAGTAATCTAAGAAGAAAGAAACCGACCAGAAAATATTTGTTTCTTTTATGACGTAATTTCTTACACAACATTCCTTTGAAAACATACGCCTATAAGGTCATCACGTGTTTAGGAAAATATATGCGCCCTATTTTTTGAGACATCGACTGTACAGCAAACTCGGCACATTCAAAACCGTGTCGAGGGCGCTTTACGTTTCTCGTCATGTACATGACGTTTCTATTATTGATTTATTCTCTTAGCCTGTCTTAAAGAGGTAAAAAAAAAAAACTATTTTTTAAAATAAAGCTTGCTCGGAATAAATTCTTGACGTACATAACCTACAAAATTCGCATCAGTTGAACGACTCCAAACCCATCAGCTCACAACCAAAACAAGCGCAATGAGATATTGCTCTGAATGTGTTCAACTAACGTTCAATATAGCCACTTGAGGCAGTAAAGGGGGGGGGGGGGGCAGTCTCAGAATTTTGTCAATAACAAGTATGTGTCAGCAATATTCCTGCAATGAACTGAACTTGTCTTTAAACAAATAACAAACTAAAATATGTGAAGGCGTCCAATGAACACACAAGAACATATAAGATAGTATATTACCTTTTATACAAGTTACATAAAAAATAATAAATCTTTTTTTCAATCAAAGGCCGGCAAACATTTTGATTACAGAAAAAAAAAAAAAGAAAAAAAGATCAGAAGTGCCACGTGGCGTAATCCGTCAAAAATGAATTAGAGATATATTATTACGTTCTTCAGCCAGGTTTTGAGGACACGCGCACAGGAAACGATGGTCTGACGTAAGCATTCGAACCAACGTCACGAGTAAAACTAATTAAAACCACATGGCATACTACCAACAACTTTTTTGTGTGTGTGTGATTGTGCTTTTTTATTTTTACTGAGACTGTTTGCAACGAGACGGTTAGGCATGCGGGAGCTAGAGGTTTACTGAGAAAGGGCTGTAAGAGTTGAATGTAGGTATCAGTTATAAACAATATAGTGAAAAGTGAGCAAATATTTATTACTTGTTCTTAACAACCAAGAAGTTTATCAAGAGGAGAAGGACGAAGAGAGAAAAAAAAAGATCTGACTTTTTAGAAAACCGATTTTAAATATTTGACCATATTTTGGTTCAAATTATATATTGCTTTAATCCTTTAAAAAGCTCGAAGCAATATATAATTTGTTTACCTGCGTGAACTGAATACCACCAGATAGCTTCAATTTAGAGCTACACATGTTGGTTTAATTATGACTTACGTCTTAAGACTCTTGACGCTTAGATTACCTCTCGCCATCCAAATTTTAGGAAAAAATAACTCTTTGAACGCGAGCAAATTCAATGTATTATTTCTGGAAACAACAACGTGGTTATTTCTATCTCGAACGGCTTACATAGTAGTATTTTCATGTAACCGTGCTCTCATAAATATAGGTTGCTCAGGCCGATGAGCGTGCTAGCCTGCCGTATGGAAGATACATTGTATCGTTTATTATTGTGCGGCGCCAGCTGTCGCATTTAACATTACATGCAAAGCATCAGCGCTCTTTGTGCTCGGGGTTTGATTTGTTATGTTCTTTCTTTTGTGTGTACCGCATTTTTTGTTTTGTCTTTACGTAGCATTTTTCTGTATGGGACCGTTTTCACGAAAAAGATGTTACACAATAAATTGTACAAGTCCCGCTTTTTTGTAGGGTCGGCGCGGCTCTGCAGCCGAGGGCCTACAACGTCAAGATTCGGACTGCCTTCGGACCGCCAAAAGAGCAGGCCATCGCTGATCCCCCCTGAGGGGGGACGATCGGCAAAGGAAAATGTACGACAAACATTGAACAAGAGGTTTACAAATTGGCATATAAAAACTATAAGAGATCGAAGTACACAAAATGCACAAATTCCTGCGCACATTAGTCATAATACAAAAGCTTACAGAGTTTCTTAAACAATACAGAATTTATGTTGGTCACGATTCCGTACGGCAAGTTGTTTCATCCTGCAATGCTTTGTATGACAGGGCGGAAATATGAAGGAGCTATTATGCGACCGATATTGTTGAAGTATGCACGAGTTAACTGTTCAAGATGAAATTTAA